TTCATGATTCTTGTGTATGTTTCCTCTTCCATCAGTCTCTCTGACGAACATTTTCTTTCCTTTTTCTCTTCTTATTTTTGAGCATTTATAGAAGAATAGCACCTACCTTGATCTTTAGCACTGCCTATACCCCTTGTCTAGTCACATAAACATAAACATGCAATTGTTGTAAATGTGTAGCTCTTATGTATATCTAACTTTTTCTCAACTTTAACATCTCTTATTTTTTTCTGTAGAATTTGTCAGATTAGTAGTGACCAATATTTTGTATATCAGTATATTTTTGATTAATAAGCTTTGTTATAGCAAGGATAGGATGTATAAGTTTATAATTTTCCATCTCTAAAAATAACTAAACATATCTTTTAAATTGTGTTTATTTCCCTTTAAAATAACTAAACATATTTCTTAAAGTATTTTTTGAATGTCCCTTAAATATATCTTCTATTTTTTCTTGAAATTACTAATACCTATATTTCAACTCCATACTTTTATTAGAGAACCACGATAACCAGAATAAATTTCAGAATGTTCTTCACACCATTTATCTCTCTAAAGTGATGACAATTTTTAACAAAACAAAATAAAAATTTAGCCAAAATATAGAAACTTGATAAAATTGCTAACAATACTGAAATTTGTTTATTTGCATAGAATATCTCAAATTTGCGAAAATTAAAGTTAGAATACTTTCTAGGAAGATATGCAGAATTATGCCTCATAATCTTAACTTTCTTCGTTACATCTTCAAACAAAGACTACAATCAAGCAGTTTACAGGCTTCTATATCATTAATCACAAAAAAAACTGAAATACATAGTCTTCATATCCTACTTTATGCTTTCTTTTTAAAACTGAGTCATCTTGTATGATCGTAATACCTCTATAGCTAATAAAAAAGAAATGATAAAATCTTTTTATAGTATAAATAATATATAAAGAGAAATTGTAAACAATGTAAACCATATCAAGTAATTTGGTTTCGATTCGCTATATTTGATCAAAGCAAACATAAGATAGTAACTTTTTTTTTCCACATTATAATTCCTTAAAAAATAATGTTTGTATTAATTCACATGAACCAAAACATATTTAGTTTAGATCATTAAATGTTAACAAATAATGTAAAACAGATTACTTAATTCAATCCAGTTTTTCTAAAATATTGCATATGTTATTTTCAAAATTATTAGATCATGACCAATTTAATATGACTTTACTAAAATTCAACACAATAATTTTTTTATGACTTAACTAAAACTACAAAAAAATACAATTTTTTTGTTTGAATTAAATTCAGATAGATACTATATAATTTGTGATATGTAATTGTTTTTAATTTACGATGCTAATGTACTATAACAAACATTATTTTATTCCTTTAAATATATACAATATGGCCTTGCAATTAAAAAGAGAGAGTAGAAATTAGAGTATATATAATTTAATTGACGTAAATGATTTTTATTATGAGAAATTTCAAAAAATGCCACTTTTCAAATGCCACTTTACAAAAATGCCATTTTTTATAATCTTTACAAAAATACCAATTTTTCAAAATTATTTATTCATTATATCATTTATGTTTGGGTTAACTATGTTGTATAAAAGTTTAGTTTTAAGGGTTTAAGGGGTTTTAGGGGTCAAAAATGTTTTTAGGGTTTATAAATTTAAAGATTTAGGCTCTAAAAAATCATAATTAGTGGCATTTTTGCAAATGTGAACACAAAATATGATATTTTTGCAAATGTCCCTTTTATTTTTAATAAAGTTGTTGATAACGTTTTCAA